TTTTGAAACTGATTGTCTTCTACCATCACAAAGACACTTGGTTCTGATTGATTAACAGGTAACAGAAGAGGGAGAGCACAGTGTGACTGGGGGTGTCTACATCAGTCCCACCGGCAACCTATTCAATCCCACAGAGAAATGACACGAATATGCTGTTTGACAGTAGATGCGGACGACACTTCAGGCGGGATGATCGGTTGCCACATGGTACTGCGGTTGGTCGGTCAGTAAGAAATGGTTTCAGATTTTTGCATGACAAATATTGCAACCCATAGCAAAGGAACAGAAAATAGAAATAGTCTTCCACATAGGTAGAAATGAACACATATACATTGTACACAGACCGAAGGAAAGCATGTAGACAGACATACAGGTATCGGAAGGCCGCTCAGGTCTGAGTGTGTCCCTGTGATTAACTCCAAGTAAACAGCCCGTCTTTGGAAAAGCAAGACACACGTTTCAGGACCCGAGTGAGGACCGCAAGCTGAGGAATGAAGATTGAATGCGATTGATTGGGAGGAGAGGAGTTTGACCTCCCCCAGCACACACTGCCCCCTACTGTTTGGATTTATATACATCAAAGAAACATTGGGGAAAGGGGAAGGGTTGCAACAACACATGCACACAACCAGTGAATCCAACAGTGACAGAAATTCTAAAACAAAGACCCCTCCAACGCCTTAAACCCAAATCCTCCCACCCTGTTTTGTTTATTTTTGATAACCAAACTATTACCCCCACCCTTCTCCCCCCACACCCAAGTCTTTCCATCCTCCTCCTCTCCCCACAAAATCACAGGTCATTCCTGTTGGTTTCTATACAGTTATACAATATCCATGCACAAAAGAAAAAAAAGTGCACCTTCTTTTCAACAGGAGGTGCTGGTCTTTAATATTCTAAGAACATCAGGAGCACTTGAACACACCCAGGAACCTTCAGAAGTAACTGTGAAACTGTTTTTTTTTTCTTTTTGTTTTTTCAGAGAAAAGACAACTGAAAGGCAGAAGAAAGCTAACAATGGATATAAGGTTATTCCTCCTTTGGTTTAACATCAAATTTTTGGTTTATAATTCAACCCAAATCACATTTTTGTCATTTCTTTCTCTCTTTCTTTTTTTTTGTTGTTTCTTTGAATGTAGGCGTCTGTGAGACAGCTTTGAACTAAACATCTGAAGCGAGCAGCTCTCGCTCGTCTCCCTCTATTCTCGCCTTCTCTTCTGTCTCTTCTTTTTCTCGCGTGACCCTCCACAGAAACATTCACAATGTCTTTTCCTTTATGAAAACAGTAAGTACATGCCGTAGCAAAAAACAAACGAGAGAACGTACGAGAAAAATAAGCAAACGAATAAAAGGAATTTAACAGTATAAAGCTTCAAGTCACAAGTTCCAAAACTAACTATCATAGTATCATACTTTCATAATCATTGTTATCATTAGCAGTATTATTTTCAGTTTAAATTACATAAAGTTTACATGAAAGGTTTTTGAGGTATTTCAGAATTAATTGTCAACACACGCCTACCAAGTCCTAGCACTAGCCAGGGGGAAAGTTGACTGGACAGACAAGGTGGAGGGAGGGAGGAGAGAGTGTGTGTCTATAAACTGTCAGCGAGTCTTCCACACTTTTCCAGTGCAGCCTCTGTGCTTGCACGCAGTGGGGAGAAAGAAAGCCATTTGGCATTTAAGATTTTATAACAACAGCCCTCTGGGTGCTTACAGCCGCCGCCTCTTTACCCTTCTCTTTCTCTGTTACACAAAAATATCTCTGATGTGAGGAAGGTAAAGCGGCCGAGAGCGTAAGCAGGCCGGGCGGAAAGCAAAAGAGAAACACGAAGGCTGAGAGCTAGCAGAAGATCGACGATACGGCAACGAAGACTCCGACAGATTAAGGAGTAACATATAATTTTGTTTCAAATAAATAGCGTATAGAAAATGTTTTATAGACTTTCTACATGATAAAGTGCTTGTATTCTAGTGTATCAAGATGGAAAGTCAATATGGGAGAAAATGCTGACACAGCCCCCACTCTGTGTCCCTCTCTTTGGCCCCCCTTTCTGTCCATCCAATTATGGGTGCATTGTCTGTGTGAGCACACGCTTGTAAGTGGGTATGCCGCTATATGCATGCATCTGTGTGTGTGTGTGTTGGTGTGTGGGTGTGTGTCCAGTGCAGTCCCACCCGTGGTTGAAGGGAAAAGGCACTCAACTCTGTCTGCAAGGCAGCCACCTCCTCCTATGTGGCACAATGCAGTCTGACTGCGCTGTTAGTAGGAACATGTGTGTGTGTGTGCGTGTGTGTGTGCGTAATATCATCAGTGTGTTTGTAACAGTTTGGGGCAAAGAGGGGGGGCTCTCGTTTTTTTGGTTTGTGTCCCCCTAGGCAGTTTGTGACTGGTAGGCTGCAGTATCTTTGGTATTAGTGGCGGTTTCACAAACCACTCAGCTTAGTGAGGTAGCCACATTGGTTCTCACTACTACAAACGTCATTTTGTCAGTGTCATTCCTAAAGCTGAATCTAGCTATTTATCTATGCTCACTGAACTGTATACCACAAGTCAATTTAAGCTCATCATCCTTTGGCGACGTTAACTCACTGCTTACAGCAACGTGAAGTTAGTCAGTACCTCCTGATCAGCTCCTCTACAATGACCACCTCTTATCTAATCTGCACTGCTAATCTGACTACATTGTTGGAAATGCTACAGTTGCATCTTAAGACCACACAGATAACTACGGAGTCCCAAGCGTAAACGCCCCGCGCCACCACCACCCCACCCTCCAATAAAACATAGCGAGTCAGCCAGGACATTTGGAGGTCATGTTTTGTCCCTCTTAATTTTACCCCATCCTCAGGGCTCAGCTTTAAAGGGGCGGGGGGGCTGAGAGTACCACAGTTCCGACACGAAATGCCAAAGGAGAGAAAGTGTCTGTCATTTATTCTTCTCTTCAGCAGCTCCCTGTTTCTCTTGTCTTTTCTCTTTCTTGTGGTAAATGTCCTGCAGGTCTATATTCACACAGAATGCAAAAAAGAAAAAGAAACAAAACCACGTCCTTCGTTGGCCTCAGTCCTTGCATCCTTCTTCTTTTTTCCTTTTAAAAAGTCCTTCCTTTTTTTGTTTTTGATTTATCAACAAGGTGCCTTACTTATGCACAACAGAGCACAATAGTAACAAGAAATAGAAACTTTGTGTCTATGGTACTAATTAAATACCCGCATCAATATAGAGAGGAAGGGGGCGAGGGGTTGGAGGGGGAAATGGGGTTAGAGGGACAGAGGAGGTAGAGAACCAAAGATAGAATGAGAGATTTTCTTCTGCTTCAAAATGTGTCCAGTTATGCGTTGGAAACATTTTGTGTTGCACTGTATGTTTGGTGTCTTTCTCATTTGAGGTTTGGTTATTGTTTGCCTTTAAAATCAGATTCTTGTTTTTTTCTTTTCTTTTACTAAAAAAGTATAATTTCATTCAGTTAAAAGCTGATTGTTGGGCGCTATGGCACACACCGCCCATCATCTGCAGGGCGCACTGTAACCGTGTGTTAACCATCGCACCGTTTTCTCTGACTCGCATTAAGGCAGTAAGCATTGGCACTAATTGTTGTAGCATTTTAACAGCTGAGTGTGGTGTTTAGCTTTGGGCTAGCTACTGATAACCCTTGTGTGGGAATAACCAGGTTTGACAGAAATCACATCTGTTGAATTTTTTTTTCTGCAAGCAGATGAAATGAATGAATGGAAAATCAATGATTTCATAAAACCTCTGAAAACTAATCTAAATGAAACCTCCACTGCACCACTGATGTGTCTTACTTAGGATGCCTTTCTGTTACATTTTACTCTGTTGTACTTTCCCCTTCCTCTCTTTGTGTAATTTTCTTGTATTCCGTTTGGATTGCCCAAATAAATCCCTGCCTTTGCAAAATCCCTGCATTTTCAGCATTCAGGCTAACCATCCCCCTCCTCCGGCTTCACCAGTGCTGGTTGGATGAGGAACAACAATAGGATAATGGTTAGCTATTGATCTGCCTTCAAAGAGCTGCGAGGCCTGAATGTGTTGTGCCATGACTTCTCCTCAGCATCTAGTGGCTCTTCCCTCCCTCTTCTCCACTCTGAATCCCCCTTGCTCTGCTGGATGCCGGTCTCTGCTTTCAACAGCAGGGGGCACTGTTGCTCTGCCAGCGCAGGCAAGGCTGGCGAGGTGTGCTTGCTGCTGATGCTGCTAATGCTGCTGCTGCTGCTGCTGTAGTGAGGCCTTTGTGTCCCCATCTCCACTGGGTCTCATGTGCTCCTCTTACATTCTGCTTTTCCTATGCAGCTGTAATGTAGTTGGCTGGATGCCCGAGCGTGTTGTTGTCATCGTTCGGTTCTCAGTTATTGATTAGAGGAAAAGCTCCCAGCAGAACAAAGAGCATGTCCAGACATCTCACCCGCCTCTCCTGTTGGTCAGAGAAACGCAGATTCTGGGCTCAGGCTAAGAGTAACAACGACACGTCTCCCTGCAGGCCTCCCAACATCTGTGCAAAAAATATACGAGACCTGGGCCTGGAAGACCTGAGTATCTACTGGCGAGTGTCTTGAGTTTCACCTTCATGAGGGGGTCAAGGCCTCGCTCCCTCTCTGTCTGCATCGATTCATTTTTCAATTCATTAGTTTGCCGTATGATCAGGCCGAGCTGCTCTCTGAAATGGCTGGCCATCAGGGAATACCTTTGGCTGAGGAATGAAGGAGACTGCGGGAGGAGGAGGAGGAGGGGGGAGGTAGAGGCAGAGAACTGGAAAGCCTTGTTGTTTTTTTCATGGGCTGCGTTGTTTTCTTCATGACGGCCTTGTGTGTGTGCAGGATGGGGCTCTGATAATAAGGCTATGTGCTGTTCTGTTTTCAGATTTATTGCCGTTCTTTTGCCCTTGTTGCTTCCGTGTGCCGCTGTGTGTGTGTGTGTGTGTGTGTGTGTGTGTGTGTGTCTGTGTGTGTGTGTGTGTGTGTGTGTGTGTGTGTGTGTGTGTGTGTGTGTGTGTGTGAAACAGCGAGGAGGCAGACACAAAGGAGGTGAGTTGAGAGGAAAAAGCAGAATCAGTGGCTACTTGGGTGGTGAAGGAGGAGGCCAGCATCATGTAGATACCGCCCAACAGAAACGTCAAATCTTTGGTGTCGCTTTGCTTTGTCAGATGCCATAAAAATTATTTTCTCTCAAAAAAAAAAAGGGAAAAAAAAGACAAAATCAATGATTGTCCTTGTGTGTGAGAAATGCAGAGTGGACCTGACTTCACACTTCACCTTTTTAGATTATGCTTGTTTCAGGTGAGAGCTTGAAATTTTAACTGACGTAAAAGATGATTGCATGGCACAAAGGATTTTTATATCGTGTAGAGGACACCTTCAGGCGCTCCGGGCCTGGCAGGGCTGTTACAGACAGGCTTTGCAGGGAATTTCCAGTGTCGCCTGTTGTTCCGGCCTGGTCCCTCGGCCCGCCAAAGGCCCTCTCCTGCTTCTCTCAGGCCTTGGAGAAGGTGGTGGCAGAGGTGCCTGGCTGCCCGGGGCTGGTACCGTGGTCATCGTGCCAGCGGTCCACACAGCGGCGGCGAGCATTCATGAAGAAGTTGCTGACGGTGCTGAGCTCCAAGCCGAGCTGCTGGGAGATGGTGATCTGCATTTCCTTGGATGGACGCTTGTTCTCCTTGAAGATGGCAATGAGTGTGCGGCGCTGCAGGTCAGTGAAGACTAGACGCTGTTTCTTGGGCGCCGTGTTGCGGTCCTTGTGTTGCTCCTGTTCTTTGCGCTTGCAGGCTTGGTGTGGATGGTAGAGGTGGGAGGGATGGGAATGAGAGTGGGAGGCAAAGAGGAGAAAGAAAACACAACGCAAGGTAAATATACAAAAGTGATCATTTTCATGAAGTGAGAGCTGGAGGTGGAGGGAAGTAAAGTGCGTAAACTATAATTACCCAGTACTTAAACACATAAAACTGGTTCATACACCAGTGGAGATGCTATGGCTCCATCTCTATTGCCATATTAAAGTTGATTTAAAGCTAATCCATGCCTCCTGCCCAGTGGGAATATTCCTTCCATCCTGCAGAGTGCAGACAGGGACCCAGCCTGCGGTGAGAGAGAGAGAGATTGGGGGGGTGGGGGGCGCACTGGCTGTTGCCTGCTAGCTGGAGACACTGCTGTTTGATTCAATATTAATGCAGTTTGAGTCGCAATGGGGGACTGAGTGACTGTTGCACAAAAGTAAGCATTTTGTGTTTGAGTGTGCGTGTGTGGAAATGAAAGATAGAGGAGGGGCAAATGCAGGGAAAGAATAGGTTGGAGAGAGAAGAACAGAAAAGAAGCAGGAGTAAGACAAAGCGTGTGTGTGTGTGTGTGTGTGTGTGTGTGTGTGTGTGTGTGTGTGTGTGTGTGCGTGTGTGTGCAAGAACTAAAGAGAGTAGCTGAGATGAAGAGGGAGGGGTTGCGAGTGAAGGAGAAAGCGAGATATTGACCGACTTTGCTGTAGGAAT